TTTTTTTTTTTTTTTTTTTTTTTTGGGTATTTATGAATGAATGAGTATTAAATGAATGAATGACCTGACCACTGCAATTGTTTGAGGAGACTATGATTTATAGTTATAGTTTCCTTGACTGGGATGGCTGGTGGGGTTATGGAAGATTAATCTATGGTGATTAAAGCTGCTGCCTCGGACAACAAAACACCTCTATTCTTATACATTGTGTTTCTTCTACACTTTTGAATATTGTGCACTAAAACCAGTAAAGGTTTTCTTGCATTCTCTGTTTTATTCCTGTCTAAAAAAAGTACTCTTCTACAAACATTCACTATTCAAATCTTTCAGTGCCAATTTATTAGGGCCTTTCTGCTTTATTAATCTGTTTCTTCTGCTGTCACAGTCTGCTCAGGATGATAAGGCTACTATTCGATGTGAGACGTCTCCCCCCACCACGCCACGTTCCATGCGCCTAAACAGGGAGGCAGGGCATGCTGCCAGTCATGAAGACATAAGAGACATTCGAGGGTTAGACCTTTATCACCCTTCCTTTATATCTGAAGTTCACTCTGGTTTCCACAGTTTGTCTTGTAAATAACACCTCTTAATTCACTGCTGGTTGTATAGTTTTGGAAGCCTGCAGGATGGTCAGTGCAGCAACCCCAGCAGCAGTAACAGCAGCCAGGACTCACTCAACAAAGCAGCCAAGAAGAAGAGCATCAAGTCTTCAATTGGACGTCTGTTTGGAAAGAAAGAAAAGGGACGACCCAGCATTCCTGGCAAAGACTCCCCCAGCCAAGGTCAGACATTTTACCCATAGGTTTTCTTGTCATGTTAAATGAGCTCAACCCAAAATGTCAGTGGTGGAGACTTGTGACCCCCTACTGTTGCTGTTTAAACTATATGAATATTTAAGGACCACTTATAATCTATATATTTTTTCTGTTTATGTATATAGTTTCCATCCATTTCTGACAAATAAAGCTAAATATGTTGATTGGTGATAATATTTTAAGTTATTTTTTATATGTATAAAGCTTTTACAGACCCAACACTTCTCCAGGCTCCAACACTTACCTTGTACCTTTCCAAGTGAAATCCTATTTCAGTAACATTATCATTATTCACCATCCTTCAAATATTTTCTTAAAATAAGAAAAATATGCAACAATTTAGAGTCAACAAAAGTATATATACTTTTGATAATGTATGTTTATTTAAAATGTTAGAAACTCATTGTAGCCAGACAATTTTTGTGTTTATTTTTGTGTTGTGGCTGCATCAAATAATGTTTGTAAGAAAGAATATAATATTCTTTTATTTATTGGGGGCGGCTGTGGCTAAGTAGTTAGAGCAGTCGTCCTCCAATGCAAGAGTTGGGGGTTCCAGTCCACCAGCAGTCACATGCTGAAGTGTCCCTGGGTAAGACACTGAACCCCTTATAGCCTCTGATGTGTGTCCCATCAGTGTATGAATGTGATCTAAAGCACTGATTAGTTTCTTTAGAATGATTTGTTCAATTAGCTTTGTAGAGATCTAGTAGAGAGCTGTATGAATGGGTAAACGAGGGCACAGATTGTAGTGTAAAGCGCTTTCAGTATCTTGAAATAAGATAGAATGGTGCTATATAAGTACAGTCCATTTACCATTTATTGCTGAAATAAACCTCTGGGAATTGGCAAATCTCAAAACAAACAAACCAGTAAACTTAGCTGTAGTTGAAGATATTATGCTTCCCACCCAGAGAGCTTTCTTAATTAAAAACTGGAGAATCCGTAGTGACTAGCTTTAAGATTCATGAGATGCTTTGTTTATGGGACTAAACTTAAATTTCAGGTTATTCTTACTGAGCTTTGCAGCTCAGTAATGTGATGACGTGATGACATGGTCGGTCGATGCAACAACCCACTTGTGAGATTAAGTAACAACAAACAGATTTAAAACAACAAAGTCCATGCTCAATAATCCAGGTATAAAATCCAACATTTTTCAGATAGGTCATCTGGACAGTTTCTTTTTTTGTGCTGAAACGTTTCGCCTTCGATCCGGAAGGCTTCATCAGTCAAGGAAACACACAACAAAACTGATTCTTCCCCCAACAGCTTACTCCAAAGTGGAACAAACCAGTTCTGCTTGTGATAAGACGGTCTCTTTGGTACGCCCCTCCTCCATTGCCAGCCCTCTTCCTTGTTGACAGTCTTGTCAAACTGGTTGAAAACAACAAAGTCCATGCTCAATAATCCAGGTATAAAATCCAACGTTTTTCAGTCAGGTCATCTGGACAGTTTCTTTTTTTGTGCTGAAAGCTTTTCATTTCGAAGGCGAAACATTTTGGCCCAAAAATGAAGCGTAGCACTGAAAACTTTAGTCCTCGCCCACCTGTTGTGTGGGCCTCACCCGGTCCGTATAAATTATGTTGAGAGCGGGTAATTGGCTCCCATTTTTTTTCAGCAAGCAACCAGCACTGATTTTCAAAACAAGAATGCGATGTCAAGCACCAACACCATCTGCCTGTGCCCGTCCTGCAAGACCGGCTACATGCTGAGCTTCGACCGGCACAACATCTGTGAAGGTTGCCTGGATCCCCGCCATACCGACCTCATCTCCTCCTGCCGTCTCTGTGACCTCCTCCCTCCTGAGGAGAGGCAAAGGCGAGCAGCCTTGTTCAAGGCTAACATCGAGGAGTGCCTCTCTGTATCGGGGGACTGTTCGCTGGATGACGCCATCGCCTTTTTTGACGCCGAGTCACGGAGCGAATCGGATGATTCCTCCAAGAAAGGCGACGGCAGCAGCAGCCCCGCTGCTCATTCCCTCCTGGAGAGGTTAGTGTTGAAACGGGAGGGTCGAGCTCACCCTCCCTGGGCCTTCCCGCATCAACGAACACACCGCTCCCAGCCGTCTGTGCCCTCCTCTCGGAGCTGCCCGACATAATCCAGGAGGCGGCTGACACAAAGGGACTTTCCGTCCCTCCCCTCCCCCCACCCAGATCGGATGATCTAGCGGGAGGTTTGGCTCCACCCCGGTTCGCCGCCCTGACCCCATCTGGCCTCGTTTCCCAGCAGTGATGTCCTACTGGAACGAGGCTGCAGCTGGACCTGGTAAATTGAGAGCGCCTGTCTCTACCTTCACTCCCATCACCAGAGTGGAGGGGTTTACCGAGCTGAATTTTCCCTCAGTACCCCCCCGGAGCCAAGCCTGGCGGAAGCACTCGGGGCAAAAGTGTCCAGGTTGAACCAGCGTCCTGTCCCTTCAGGGAGACACGACCAGACGGTGACGTCGCTTTCCAACCGAGCCCACCAGTGTGCTTTCCAGGCGGCTGCAGCGAACAACAATGTCGCCCTGATGCCCTACAGCATCTCCAAAAGGCTAAAGGACACAGACCTGCCTGAGGAGATGAGGAGCTCGCTCTGCAAAGCGTCTGACGTCATCCTCAACCTGTGCGCCTCCTCTGCTGTCTGCCTGTCTTGCATCGCCGCCTGGATGACAATAATCCAGAGGTCCACCTGGCTCCGACACTCCCCCTCCTTGCCGGAGAAACTGCAGAAAGACTTGCTGGAGGGCCCCATCATGATGGATGCGCTGCTCGGGGCCAATTTCAAGTCCATGCTTGAAAAATGGAGGTGTCGGAGATTGTACATCACCTGATGAAGCTGCACCCCTCCTCCCACCCCCCGCCCACTGGAGAGATCGCCGTGGCCAGAGGCAGCAGGAGAGACGCTCCACAGCTGCAGCAGCGTCCTCCCGCCCCACTCCACCGCTGGCCCCTCCCGCCAGAGAACAGTCCTTCTCATCGTAGCAACCAGCAGCTCAGCGTTTCCCCAGAGACTGCCAACAGGCGCCGCCCTGAAACAACCAATCGCAGGGCTCACGGGGGAGAAGATATAAGAAATAACTCCTTGCGGATGATGTGTGTTTGTGTGTAATGATGATATAAGTTTTAAAATAAAACTAAAACATCATTCAGAGAATAAAGTGTCTGATTCCAGCCTGACTGTCAGATCGAATTATCTCACAGCGGCTTCTCTTTACACATCCTCCACACAAAACGAGCCGGTAATATCAAAACGGATTTCTAAAAGTCACCGCAGCTCGAGAAACCACACAAAATGCTCGCTTGACACAGCAGCTAAAAATGATTCTTCTCAGCAGACCGAGTCCAGAAGAAAACCTCGTTCTCAGCCCAGGTTGTGTTCTGATTTTTCTGACCGCAGCGGGAACAAACTCATTTCCCCATGACAGCTGCAGTCTCCACCCAAGCTGCACCGCATTTCTAAAGGCGCTCACGCCTCTCCTCAGTGTGCATCAGCTCACATCAACTCTGATGTGAACTCGCAGCCTGAGCGTAGTACAGAGGCGTTCCCAGAGCTCTTTCGGTGAGGCCCCCCCATGGGTTGCTCGGAGAGCTTCTCCAGAGCATATGACGGCGGTGGGGGCTTTGACTTGGCTGACGTCCGTGAAAGACATGACACAACACAAAAACACGTGCTCGCTCCCAGAGCGTTACACAGAGTGGCAGCGAGTGTGCCCCCTGGACAGATGGATGGACCGTCTGATCAGCAGAGGTTACACACTACAGTTCGCAGCTCAACCCCCACCGTTCAGAGGGATTATAGAGACGGTTCTGTCATCTCCAGAACAGATCTTGTCTCTCCACGCAGAAGTTCAGGAATTACTGATAAAAAATTTAATTTCTAGGGTTACCAACAGAGAGGAAAACACAGGGTTTTACTCACGTTACTTCCTAGTTCTGAAAAGGACCGGAGGAATGAGACCCATTTTGGACTTATCCGTATTCATCAAGTCGATCATGGAGAGACAGTTTCACATGCTGACAACCAGACAGCTGTTGGACAACATTCACCAGAACAACTGGTTCACCTCCATAGATCTAAAAGACGCCTATTTTCACATTCCAATCATTCCAAAACACAGAAAGTTCTTGTGCTTCTCCTTCCAAGGGACCCAGTACAACAGGCTCCCGTTCGGCTACTCCCTCGCACCACGTACGTTTTCGAAATGCGTGGAGACAGCTCTGCAGCTGTTACACAGAGCAGAGATGAGAATTCTGTTCTATCTGGACGATCTGCTGCTACTGACCCGATCCAGGCAGGAAGTAGCTGCACAAGTTGCGCTCAGCCCAACTGTTGCGCATTGCGAGGCAGCTGCTGTGTTGGGCACACAAAAACATGCTCTTCATCAGAGCAGTGTACATCCCCGGCGTCCTGAACAGAAGAGCGGATGGAGTCTCCATCCCGAGCTGATTTCTCGAATTTGGAAACTGTTTGGCAGAGCAGCAGTGGATCTGTTTGCCACACGGGAGAACGCCCAGTGTCAACTATGGTTCTCACTGAGCCCAAGGGACAACCAACCGTTAGGTTGTTTTTTTGTTCTATTATTACTAATCAGTTCATGACTACTGTTACCAATCAGTTCATTTGATTACTAATCAGTTCATTTATTATTATTCTGTTCATATTGAAGAGCTGTTGATCTGCTCTGTTCACTGTTTTCAGCCTTCCCCCTATTCCCCGTCAAACTTTTTCTCTCCGGGGCGCTCCTGTGCATGGAACGCGTAATTACGCAGCGCGCTTCTGTGCATGGTGCGCGTAATTACGCAGCGCGTAAATACGCACATAGAAGGCTGAATGATTAAATGTTTTTTGGTGCAAGCGGGCGCTTCATATTGTGTCTGAACGAACCCAGTAAGGCATAGACTACATCCTGCTTCGCCTTTAACCCACCAGCGACAGCCTTAAAGAGTGAAGCCTATATGAAATAGAACGTTGGTTATGTACTGTAA